GAAAACAATTTTTAGGTTCTGAAACCAATAGATTTGACATATCTACATTATTAATCTCAAACAAATAATAGAACGTCTTATTGTCGTATGAAGTATGCTTCATTTGTGATTTTTGCATGGAACCGCTTGATATGAAATATGCTCGAAATGCAAAGAAGATTCAATTGTGTATCATGTATAATGATCATGCGATGAGGCAATCACATGATGCGGTTCAAAATAATTTCTTCTAAGACCTTGCCTATACAAGGTCTATAACCATTTGCGATAGTCTATGATTGATTAGATTTTAGAATGCATGATATATCAAAATATTTCCAAGGCTGTAGATGAATATTTTTTTTAGGATCATTCTATCTTATAATAATTTACGGACCTATTCTGTGCACTTGACAGATTTGTCAAATTCTTTAATAAAATTTTTGATTTTTATAAAGCAGAAAGCTTTTTGGTATTCTGGACACATCTTGATAAATTTCAAAGCTCAAGTACCTAGTGCTTCTTACCACACTATGGTGTAAAGTGTTTTGTATGGAAAACTGTTCGTAATTGTTCGTGACTGTTCGTGACTGTTTGTAAAAAATGCTTGTAAAGAGCACATATTTTAAGTTATCAAAGGTATTTTCCATGCATTCAAATAACAATAAAAAATATGCTTGTAAAGAGCGTATATTTTAGTTAACAATATTTGTCATGCCATCAAAAAATAAAAAATGCTTAAAAAGAGCATATTTTTATAGTTGTCAACAGCATTTGTAGTATGGACAACTAACAAGGAAAAGAGCTTTTTATTTATGTCACAGAATACCAAAACCTTTACAGCAGTCAATTTTGACAAGTGTCAATGTTTAACAAGTTTATAAAGTGCACAGAATAGGTCCGTTAATGTTCTTATTTTAATAGAAGTGGATAGGTTTTAAAGCATTTGATATTATATGAGGTCTATAACTGGAGGTTATAATTTTTTTTATTTTCTTTTCTAATCCTTTCAGTCCATACCACATACAATGTCATATTGTTAATATTTAATAGTTGATATTATTACTATATTACTAATATAACTAATATTGTTAAATTTTTTCTCTATAGTTATAATATTAATATTATAATATTATTTTTTAAAAAGGAAATATCGCCTCTTCACTGTTCTACATAATTATTGCTATTAATTTACATTAACTTATTAAACAGTTTATTTATTATATTAATTTATTTGTATATTTTATTAATTATATGTATTATTTTTTTATATATTCAAAATTTTCAAAAATGTTATATTGTTACATATTGTTATATAGTTTTAATATATTATTTATTATTAATTTTTTATTAAAAATATAAATGTCCATTATTAATCCATTAAACTTACCATATTAGGAATTTAATTTAAATTATATATTATTTCTTTAATAAACTCACGTTTCAGCATAACTATAGAGGTACTCTATCAATTAGAGCATTATTTGTCCCTATAAATAATTTAACTTTCTGTACAATTTGTAAATCTTTGCCAATTTTTAACAACCACTAAATATTAATAATAATTTTAGATTTTCTTTTTAAATTTTTGACCCACTGTTAAAATAGCTTTTTAAGCTTTTTCCAACTTATTATTGTGCTTAATATTCATTTCTCTTATAAACTTGTGAACCCACATTTGATGAGAGCGCAATCATTGAATGAAATAAATAGCTTTTAATTAACTGTTCTCCTAAAGAGTTTTCAATTAAATAAAAACAAAAAACGTTGTTTATTTCATTTTAAACACGTTTTTTACTATTTCGCTTTTTTTACATTATTCAAGTAGGAAATACAAATGAAGGCGAAATATAAGAAATGCACGCGCTTATGACAGTTGTTTTATCAATAAACGAAGAATTCCCCAGCTGCTGCCGAAAAATAACAAAAAAACAACAAAACACGTACACTTTCTTTCTTACTCAACCAATTGAATAATATGCAAATTAGTTTTTTGTTGGAGTCAATTATGTAAATGAATTAATTCAACAAATTAATTTAATTAAAATTGACTAATTTCTCTTAATTAATATTTAACGAAATAAGCATGTACTTACAGAAATATTTTGATTGCTTTATACAAAGCCACTAAATAATACATAATTGTTGATATTATAAACATATTTTCACATGTGCTTTTCTGTACGTTGCTTTTGTATCAAAGTTCGTTTTATAAAAATTTTCACACACAAAATTTGTTTTTTTATTATTTATTTATTATTAGTTTTATTTTGCTCTGGTGTTTATTTTATATTTATTTAATAATTGTATAATATATTTTCAATGGTAACCAAACATTTTCTTTGTTTTCGAACCGAATTTTTCTATGTACAAATTTTTTCGAACGTTCAATGTCACTCGCCGATATAAACAAACGCACAAAGAAGAAGTTTACAGACTGTTGGGTGTATTAACCGGGCGTATGGTAGCGACACACAAAAAAAGGTAAACAAATGCAAAATACTACTTTCACGAAATTATGACAGTTAGACGAAGCAAAAGAGAGCGCATGATTGGTAAATAAGAGAAAATAACAACAATTATTTGCGGTTAACATATGTATCTACATTACAGCAGTTTGTAATGTAAAGCTTCGTAAAGCAATGTTAAACCGTTCGTATTGCGTAAATATTGTTGATTTTTACTTTTGTATGGAAATACACATTATACTTAATATAAATAAATATATTTATTTTAAAAAAATTTATATATAAATAATATATTATATAGTTATTTATTTAATTTATGTTTAACAAATATTGTTTATTGTTTTAAAATCTTGTTTATTCATTAAGAAATGAATAAATTTTATTTGTTTTTGATTAATCTTAAATAAAAATTAAATAATATATAATATGAATGAAATTTTTAAAATAATTTATTATTTATAACCAAAGACCTTAACAGTTATTATTGAAACAAAAAACAATTAATAAATCGATTCATTCGTTTTTTAAAATAAAATATAAAATAAAAATAATAATTAAATTTACCTTATATTGTATTTTTAAGAAATAAATATAGAGGTTTTTCGAAAAGTAGTGAACTACAACAACAAAAACTTCATTTTTATATTTAATTAATTGAATTTTTGGCTGACCATACAGCTGTTTCGAGTATTGCCAAATCCCTATCATTAGGGGTCTCGTGCCCTGCCAAATTTGAAGCTCAGAGTCAGTGCTTGACTTTTATGTTCTCACATTTTTCTGGAGTTTTGTTAATTTGTTGTGAAAGTTTTATTAACAAATTCACTTGCTGTGTTTATATTAGAAAAACGTTATCATAAACCAGCTGTAAAATATTTGAATTAATTAATTATATATTTATTTTTTTTTTGGTTTTTACCTTTTTATTCTTTTTTTTACGACCGTTTACTTATTTCTTATTCTTGCCTTAAAAACAAAAAACTCAAAAATAATTATTACTTTTTGCAGTCAAAAATAAAACTTTTTATGGAATATAATTAAATATTATTCTAATATCAAAATATTTTCTTTATTTTTGTTAGAACATAACTGTATATGTTCATCGCATGGAAGATTTATGGGTGCTCTTTGTCCTGTTGCTCTCTTGTAGTGCATCTATTGAATTTAGTCATAAACTTTGCAAAGAAGGAATTGGGTCCAAGAGAGGTTTTTAGCTTTTATATATATCTATATATTTTATTTACGTATAATATATATAAATATTCATGCATGTATGTATATGTGTGTGTATCTACATATATGCAATTTTCAATAATTTTTTTATTAAGGACGTGTGCGAGTTAGGCTAAATTGCGTTTTAAATGAGGGAAATTCTAAGTTGTGCCGATAATGTAGTGATGTGTCGATACGTGTTAAGAAATGGCTAAATGTGTGCAGTGCAAAAAATCCCAAAAAATCTCCCATTTGGTTTAGCATCAACTTAGCCTAACTAGCACACGACCTAAATCCCTCTAACGCTCATTAAAAGCTGCTTATCAAAGAGAAAATTCCGAGTTCAAATTAAGGACCACTTATTATCAGTCAAAATATTAAGGTTGGAGGTGCTGAATGCTCGCTACAGATACCTCTATCATACAATATTCACATGACGCATGTACAGAAGCTTAAACCTTTAAAATCCTAATTTGATACAGACGACACATATAGTCCATACTCTAAAGAGAATTCTGATAAAATAGCAAATGCTGTACGAGAACATTTCGATGAGATAATTTTGACAAAACGAAGAACTTATTCATAATATATAAATGGCATATTCATTTAGAGAGATCGTTTTCCAAATACAAATTTGGAAAATTTCATTTATAATTGTATTAATTTAAAATTGATTATATTTTCTTTTTGAAAACTTATATTTACTTGCAAATTAAGTTCAATTTAATTTATAATAAAATTATATTTAAAATTATTAAATTTTAAAATTTCTGCATATTTTCGGATCCTTTTAAGCGTATATTAGGTGCTTAAAAATACATACTTTTCTATGCTCTATTGATGAGAATAAACTTAAGAAGTTGTTAATTTTATATTTGATTATATAAAACAATTTCATATTATTGTACGAACCGGCGATCAATAGGTGCAAATATTAGAATACTGCACTCAATGACGAAGCAAAGAGAATTAGCTGCATTATAAGTTCCACATAAGTTTGACATCAGCTTTTTGGAGACTGAAGTTAGCGTTTTGATACGTACAGATGTTGTTAGTTTTTTTTTTAATAGTCCAAATCACATATACATCTAATTGTATTACCATTAATTTTGAAATTAATTCTTTAAGTAACAAACTATAATTAAATTATTTCATATAAACTAAAAATATTGATTAAATGAAATTATTTTAAAATTACATTTATATATGTATCCATTTATTTTAATATTTATTACACATTCTCAAAAAATTTATAATATATCAAAAAAACCTTTTTTATAGAACATCATATCCTATTAAAAAAAAATTATTCAATTAATTAATATTAAAAAGAAATTATTCTTAAATTACTATTAGAAATGTGGCTCCTAATAATACTGCCTTAATACAAACATCCAAATCCATGGGAAAATTAATACCAAAGCAATTAGCATCTGTGAAAAGTTCACGAATAAATCCAGACCACTTCTTTGAGATTTTCCCAATAACGTCACCATCAAGGGAAACAACCTAAAGAAAATTAATAATAATTCAATTATAGATTCTTATTAAAAAGAAATTTTTTTATTACTCTTGCTTACATTAAAGTTTACATCATTACAGCAGCTCTGTGCACCATATGGGCCCTCAATACGTAATACAGTTTCATCATTAGCATCTTTTATTCGAAAAGATGGTGCAAAAAGCATCCATTCTTGTTCTACACGTCCGATTACTTGACCAGAAGGGGCAGAAATTTCAATACTTTGCAAACAACATGGAAAACAACATGCGGAACAGGCTAATGGTCGGTAGAGATGAATTACTTCTTTCTGAAAATTATCAAAAATTCTCATGTTGAATGGACGTGATGGACCACTACAATTACGAGTACAACAATCGGTATCCTCCAAAACGTTGTAAGCTTTTTGACCGATCGCATTATTAACAACGTATTTGTTATTAGTTTTAAAACAAATGAAGTTCTCAACTTTTTTATTTATCAATAGCTGATCTACAGTTGTTAAATATTCCAAGCCGGGTGGACAGGTAGGTATATTAGGGGACGCAATTACCCATTCTAAAACAGCACCAATTTTATAAAAATTATATAAAAATCATTGTTATAGTTATATACGTACATATATATTTATGACTAAAAGAAATTTAAATAAATAATCGATGCATTCACCATTACTTTGAACTAAGAACAAGAAAAAAGCGAAAGCCATTTTAGAAGCAGTATTCATTTAGGAAGAACTACTGCATATCTTTAAAAATCAGACATAAATAAACCTAAATGGTACATATGTTATCAGTGAAGATCTTAGGTGCATGTTATGGTTCAAAGTGTACAGCGGCCGGTAATGACAATCTATTATTAAATTTGTCACTTGATAATGATAAAAACATATAAAAGTTGACTCTCAATATCTGTTAATTTCTTCCGATTTGTTTCTAATTCATTTTGTAACCATAAAGAAAATTAAAATGTTAAAAATAAAAACAAGCTTTGAAGCATTTTCTATTAAATTTGAAGCAATTTGTATTAAAAAAGTTATACATAATTTATATAATTAAAATATATGTTATATAAAAAAACAAAAAATAGTGCTGAAGGTAATTACATCATTAAATACAAAACTCTAAATATATTTCTCAAAAATTAAGTCCAAGAATTTGTGAACCAATACCATTAGAAAAATTCCAAATTTAATACTTAATAATAATAATTTTTATAGTTTTATATATTTTTTTACATACATCTATATTCTTACCATAAATAAGGTTAACATTTAAATAAACAATTTCTGTATCAATAAAACTCTTCTTATATGAGAAAAAAATTATTTGATTCTAGAGCATCAGCTTTTAATTGCCTAATAAACTATAATTATGCATTATTTTATTTTTTTATTTTTCATTAGTCTAGCTTATAAGAAATTTAAAAGATTTCTTTTATTAATAATAATAAAAAAATGTATGCTAATTTGGAAAACAATTTTAACAACATATATTAAATTTTATTTATCGAAGATAATATAAGAACTCAAATTATTTAACGAAGAACACTAGTTCAGAGCCAAAAATTGCCAAAGACGAGAACTATATTTCCTATAGTAAAATTTTTCATAGAACGTGAAAATCATAATGATTTTATTATTTGTGCATTCTGTAGTCATTCTCTGAGTCATTCTTTTACAAACCGAACGGATTGCTTAAACTAATTCTTAAAATAGCAATAGATATCAAGTTTCTATAATTTATATAGTTCAGGATATGACCATTTGTAAATGCATGGGTCCATATCTCCTAGAAAAAAAATTGCAAAATATTTTCCCAAAATACGAGTCTTCTTATTCTATGAAAGGAGCTTTTAAAAAAAATTTCAGCCAAATCGAAGATGATGAGATTAAAAAGGTGTCCGATTTAAAAAAGAATGGCCCATCAGAATGGTCAGAAAAATATGCTTTAAGCACATACTAGTTAAAGTGACCACATCAGTTTTATTCGAATCATTTTAGCTCATGTAAATAATAAATGAAAACCAACATGTAGTATGGTTTAGCCAACATCATGCGTCTTCTAAGAATGTTTTGACCTGGGAATTAGTTAAAATCTGGTTAAATCCATCAAATCATTTTTCTGAGTGTACCCATAATTTTTTAAGTGTGATTTGAAAGGTTTAATATTATATATTAAATTAAGACTTATAAACCACTCATTCAATTAAATTATAAGATAGGTATATATCACTAACTGCAAAAACTTAAAATAAGTAAATTATGTAGTATATTATATTTAAGAAATTTTAAGCCTTCTATGTATGTAAGTAATAGAATCATAAGAAGGGACTTTATTACATCAATGTAAAGTTTTTACTCTTTCTTTAATAATTTGTTGAATAATAACAAATAATAATTGGAAAATCTACAAAAATATGGATTTAACGTCAAATGAAGCACATCCAGTTCTAAGCGTTGTGAAAAATTAAATTTTATTTAATTCTAAAATTGATTGAGCCTGTAAAATATTTGAAAATATATGGAGTACAGTATAGTTTATTTGTTTATATTTTTTTTTTGTGCCTTCAATATTTGATTGTAAGATTAACTAACAATAATAACAACAACAACAATACAGAAGCCCTCCTTTAAAGCATAGGGCAACTTCACAGAATTGTTGAATGCAATTGATATGGACTCCTAGTTTTTCTTTTATTTGTTTATTATTTTGAAATTTGAATTTATAAACAAAAGACGAAGACAGTACTTTTGTAAAAAGTTTTGAAGGCAAAAATATTTCGACTAATTTAGCAAAATCAGCACATTATGATGTTATACATAAATATAAAGTGGCGTGAGTGAATCAATATCATAACGAATGTTTATAACATTCCGATAACTAAAGATATATTGTTTATAGTGTGTGCTTTTTTTCTAATTTTTCATAAGACGAGATTAACTTCAAAAAACAAATACACTGAAGTTTTAACGACAAACCATTTCCCAGGTATAGCTACTGCCCAGTGGTTTTCCAAGTCAACACCAATTTGTTCCATTTAGTTTGGTATTTTTTATGATTTGTATATTTTTTAAAGTGTCAAAGGGTCACGGAAAAGATGGATTCGGGACTTTGCAAGTACGAACACTAAGAGTTAAAAACTATGAATGAAGACCGGAACTATATCTTATTTCAAATCAATAAGCAAAAAGATAAGTAACAATATTTATTTTTTGACGATTAATAACTCTAATAGCTGTTTGTGTCAACAAAAATTTGTTAACTTTTTAAAATATTTATTCTATTCTATTATTTATTCTATTACATTTTTAAATTAAAAAATGCAATGAAACGGATTTGCAAAGCAATTTATTTATTAATCAATTTATTTTGGTATTAAAACAAAGATATTTTAGAAATTTAATGAATTGGACAACTTGTCAGTAAGTCTCGATATGATTGCAAAGTTGCAAAAGTCATTTGAAGGGATAGTTTTTTCATTAAAAATTTAATTCAACTATCAATAAATTTAATATAAATCTATAAATATTTCTTAAATTAATTTTTGCTTGATTTTAAAAACTCGGATTTAAGTAATAAACAATCCCATACACTTTGTATAATGCCCGCCACTATTTTACAATTGTAACAGTATGGGTGAGATACGCACCTTTCTTTTACCGTGTTTCTTTTCAATTAATAGTTTAATGATGGGAATCATGCTGTCTCTTATAGAATTATCCCACCTATTAAGAGCCATCTGTTTTTTATAGAGTCATGCCAGCTATAGGGAATCATTTGACTTTTATAGAGATATCCCACCTACGTTGTCGTTATGTTGCACTGTTCAGCTGTTTTTATTATTTTTAGTAAGTTATACTTCTTTAGTTGCATTATCAAGAGGACTTCCTACCTTCAATTACGTTAGTTGCATCACTGGCAACAATTTGAAATAAAAATTAATGATATGCATAGAGCAGTCTTGTAACTACTTTCATGTACGTCTTAATTTTCGCTTATTAACTTGAAATAAGATATAAATCTAACAGATATAGGTATAGCGCATTTCACATTTAAATTACTATTACATATACTTTGGTAGCTCCAATATTCCAATATTCTGGTTTGACCCAAAATTCTACACACATGCAAAATAGTTATCTAAGATGAATGTATCATAGCCAATAATAATTTAGATGAACCGCCTAATCGAAATCTGATACGAGTAAATCAATCAGATATTTAGTGAATTTATTTTATATACATTTTTATATATATTTATTTTATAAATAATAATTATATAGTATAGTTATACATATTATTTAATATATAGTTATAATGAAATACCTGGTGGAGTCTGCACAAGTCCTGGTTGTGCTGTTATTGGAACATTTTGTCTTTTATAGCCTTTAAGTTCACTCCCTTCGAAGCAAGGATCGTTGTCATGTGGCATAATAAATAATTTTTAATAATACAAACTCGTTTTAAATATTCAATTTATTATAATAAAACTTCACCCGTAATATAACAATTTAATATATATTGAACAATTTTCGATATTTATAATTTTGAAATTTAAATAAATTCACTAAAAATTCTGATTTATCAATTTGTAATTCAATAATTTAATAATAATAAATATAAATAAAATCACACTTCATTCAATTATTTTCTTTTATAGTTATTATAATATATTTCAAATGTTACGGATAACACAAAATCCTTCCGAATGTCTCGCGTTCTGTTCAATCAATGAAACTTCTACAACAAATGATCTGCGCTTCTAGTTGAACATGTAAGATCATTTGGGCTTAGCGCAAAAATACAGGGTGACATGATGTAAGTTTCATCAGTGAGCAATTTTATAAAGGAAAATATTTTTTCAGTACATATTTAATTTATTTAATTCCTTTTCATGGTAAGATTCTATTTCTGTATTATTTTAAACTCCTCCTCATGAGATATACTGGAATTGTCTATTAAAGATAATCATTTTGAAGCATACGACATGGAATTGATTATTTTAACTTTTTTTTGGTTTCTGATTTGTTGGAAAATTATTACTTCTCAATATATTTCGTAATAAATGTTTCTGTTTTACATGAAATCTTTTATCACATATCTCAAAACCTCATCAATTTACATTTGTGCAGTGGTATTTATGAGATTGATTAAATAAACAATTGAAGATTAGTTTTACAATTGACTTCGTTTTTATTATTATTTCTTCTTATATACTAAGTTATTCTTACAATATTCCTATTACATTAAGAATTATTAACTTACTTTCAAAGATATCATTTTATTTTATAGGAGATTTGTGTACACGTATGAGCTCAAGCACTTGAGTCCACTTGAGATCACACATGCGCACTGATAAACTATGATCATAAATAATATTATATTATACCAAATAGTCAAAAAGTATCAAATTGAGACAAACAGAATTATCAGTTTAATGCACCACAATAACATTTCATATTTTATTTCCTATTACCATATTAGATATTATGCAGATATACTTAGGAACATGTTATACACAGGCAGTCATATTATGAATAGTCATGGCAATTTTACGCTCTTTTTAGTCATGCCCAAACAGCCCAAATGACCCTTAATGATATAACATAGACCTTTAGATGTTTATAGTAAAACTTAATTATTACTCCTAAATTAAAATTTTAAGAGCTACCCCGTCATCTACTTCGTTATTTTTTTTCAATTTTTTGATCCATTTGATCCAATAGGTAATTAAATTAATAAAAACTTGCAACGATTTAATCATTTGCATATATGATTCAAAGTATCTTTAATTAATGGATATCTTTGTTTGTTTATGTGTACTATGTTTATACATTATTGAATTGAGTTAAAGATAGATATATAACATATCTCTTACTAAAACACTCCAGAACAATTATGTATAATATTGTATTTAAAAAATTTAGTTTTAGCGAAATATAAGGGAAAGTGCGTTCTACCTTTTGTTGGAGAGTTTTATATTAACCCGTATACCCTCACGGAGTCATATGAAAGTACTTTATTACATTAATGTAAAGTTTTTACTCTTCCTTTAATAATTTGTTGAATAATAACAAATAATAATTGGAAAATCTACAAAAATATGAATTTAACGACAAATGAAGCACATCCAGTTAGTTCCAGTTCTAAGCGTTTTATTTTATTCTATAATTGATTGACCCTGTAAAATATTTGAAAATATATGGAGTAACATGCAGTATAGTTTATTTGTTTATATTTTTTTTGTGCCTTCAATATTTAATATTTAATATTTGTAAGATTAACTAACAATAACAACAACAACAATACAGAAGCCCTTCTTTAAAGCATACAGAATTGTTGAATGCAATTGATATGGACTTCTAGTTTTTCTTTTATTTATTTATTATTTTGAAATTTTAACTTATAAACAAAAGACGAAGACAGTACTTTTGTAAAAAGTATTTCGACTATTTAGCAAAATCAGCACATTATGATGTTATACATAAACATAAAGTGGCGTGAGTGGATCAATATCATAACGGATGTTTATAACATTCCTATAACTAAAGATATATTGCAAGAGTATGTGCTTATAAATGTACTGTCGTAGCTACTGCCTTGTGAGTTCCCTAAGGCACCACTGTTTGAGATTTAACTTTGCGATGTTGAAAATAAATCACACACTATTAAAGGGTTCTAGAAAAGACGAGTTTTTGAGATTCCCCGAGAACGATACAATATACCGATTAACTTAAATATACCTTAAACTCCTCCAAATCTAATATTAATGTCATCTGAAAGCATACCATAAAATCTCCATTCATTTTCTTATGACAAAACTCTTCAGTGACCAGGTTGTTGTGGCTGTGATTGTTGATGATTGTTGTGTTTTAATTCTTTTTAGGACATCCGTTCCAGTTGCTTACTTACTCGCTTAAACTTAATCGTAAGCCTTGTGAAGAAAGTATTGGGCATAACAGGGTTTTCTGTATTTTAATACTTAAATAAACATATATCTACATATATTAAAATATTTTTTATTAATTTATTAATATGAATTTATATATTCTAATATTTCGAATATTTTCTCAATAAATTTAGAACATAATATACAATATTAAAGATGTTCAAAATACATTAACAGGAAATACACATACTTAATTTTTCAATTGTGTTCGAAAAACATCATATCCTATAAAAAAGAAATTAATTTATTAAATAATTTTTTATGGTAAATTAAAATTAAATTACTATTAGAAATGTGGCTCCTAATAATACTGCCTTAATACGAACATCCAAATCCATAGGAAAATTAATACCAAAGAAATCAGCATCTGTGAAACATTCGCGACTGAAACCAGACCACTTTGAGATTTTACCAATAACTTCACCATCAAGACAAACAATCTAATAATATAATAAATATTGAATAATTGGTATTTAATACAATAAATTATATTTATTACTCTTACTTACATTAAAGTTAACATCATTACAACAGTTGGCCAAACAACACGGACCTTCAATACGTAATACAGTTTCATCATTAGCATCTTTAATTCTAAAATATGGTAAACAAAGTGTCCATTCTTGTTCTACACGTCCAATTATTTGACCAGGAGGGGCAGTAACTTCAATGCTTTGCAAACAACATGAAAAAAAGCTACATGGTAAGCTAAATGGTCGGTAGAGATGAATTACTTCTTTTTGATAGTTGTCGAATATTCTCATGTCAAATGGACGTGCTGGACCCCAACAATTACGAGTACAACAATCGGTATCCTCCAAAACGTAATAAACTTTTTGATCGACCACATTGTTTACAACGTATTTGTTATTAGTCTCGAAACCTGTAAAAGCCTCTAGAAGTTCAACTTTTTGATTTATCAATAGTTGATCCACAGTTGTTAAATATTCCAAACCGGGTGGACAGTTTGGTATGTTATTGGGCACAGTTACCCATTCGGAAGCAGTACCTATATTGTAAGAATTTCAAAGTTTTTATAGAAAATTATATTAATTTTGTATACGAGTATATAAACTATAAATAGACTATATAAATAAATCATATGAGTATAAACTAATAATAAGAATATAAGCTCTTATTAAAAATACAAAACAAAACTACAGCGATTAATGTAAGCAGTAATCATTCAAACATGGTTAATTCAAATCCTTCAAAATCAGATAATGTTACTAATGAAGTCATAAAACTTACACTTCTGGACCTTTTCTTCAAGTAAAGTATAATGCTTGTAAATAACAATTAATTGTTAATTAGATCAATCGACGTCCTTTGTTAAGATTGACAAATGCGTCCTCCAATTGTTCTCGAGGTGAGAATCAATTTGACAGTTCAATAGTTCAGTGTTTAGCTAAAAAAATGCTTTCTGTCCCCGGTTTACCCAGCAAATGGTTTGCAGATACCATCAAAAGTTACGCTGCCAAACACTCTTTTAATATTGATGAACAGCCCTGTAATGAATTTTTCAGGCAAAATCATATTTAGTTCTGTCCACCGGTTTCTGGAAAGCAGTTTCAGAGTTAAGACAATTTTGATAGAGTTATATTTTGAATTTTAACGTATAATATATATTATATTAATTCAGTCAAGAAATTCAAAGTTATCAAATGAGTTCATTTTTTATTATACTAGACTATCGTATATTCTTCAGTTTTTCAAACTAACTGAAATCCTATTGTTACCTGGTTAATAGGATAGTTTCAATCCAGAAAGATACTCACGGTTTTTTCAGTTGCCTTAAACCTACGGTTAGGTTTCTTAAGATTATCCAAAACAACATTTATATGTAGTTTAAGCCTCTTGACTAACATACTACTTTCTTAAAGATTCTGTACACTTTTAGACAAGTTTTTAAAACAGGCATTCTTCGATGTGCAAATAAGCCTTTTGTTTGGTTTTGTAATTGTTCCATGCATCCTCCAAATTAGTACTTAAAATTAGTTTCCTAGTAATACTGCAACGTTTTTTTTGATTCCCGTTCATACCATGATACCGATTTTATGCTTAGAGGTTCTCCCCAAGTAAGCATATTAAATTATAGCTATCAATCACATAACTGTACAATCGAAGAACTGCAGTCTCTAGATTTTTCTCCGATTATATCCCTATGCTTAACCCATCTACTAGACTGAGTTTGGACTAGATTACTAAAAAGATGTCTTATAAACCATCTCCGAGTGGAAATTAAATGTAACGGTGACCAGAAAGAGGAAACTCTAGTTGGAGATAAACACTGACAACCTATTATTTGTAAATGCAAGTTCTCTAACATCTTGCCACCTACTTGAAGCAATTGTTTTTTTTTTAGACAGACCATATAGAAAAATTTGTTACTATTAAGGTTCCTCAAAATCAGGGTCTTAAGGTGTTAGGCTGGTCTAAGGTCTCGTCGTTAAAAATCAAGACAAAATACTTAAAATAACAGTAACCGATTTGGAATGTTGCCAGTTTACATGAGAACGCTGAATCCAATTTACAAGAGAACAAGGTTAAGTATTACTTTTATATGGAAAATTATAAGAAATTTAATATCAACCAATTAAAAGAAATATCGACTAGTCTATTTCTTTCGGACTCTTCACTAACCGTCAAAGTGTTCATCTTTAAATCCGTATACGATTTTCAGGTAGTCAACTTGGTGCATCAATAAATTTTGGAGTAAAATTAATGGCATTAACATATATTCATATATTTATTTATATAATATTAAAGAATTTAGGACACAATACACAACATGGCTACATGTTCAAAATACATTAACAAGAAATAAACATACAAAAATCCCCAAGTAAATTAATTGGTGTGTTCGAAGAACATCATATCCTATAAAAAAGAAATTAATTTAATATAAAATATTAGAGTATAAATTATTTTTTAATTACTATTAGAAATGTGGCTCCTAATAATACTGCCTTAATACGAACATCCAAATCCATAGGAAAATTAATACCAAAGAAATCAGCATCTGTGAAAAATTCACGAGTAAATCCAGACCACTTCTTTGAGATTTTTCCAATAATGTCACCATCAAGGGAAACAACCTACAAAAATTAATAATTGTTAAATGATAGATTATTATTAAAAATAATTATATTTATTACTTCTGCTTACATTAAAGTTTACATCATTACAGCAGCTAGATACACAACAGGGGCCCTCAATACGTAATACAGTTTCATCATTAACATCTTTTATTCGAAAAGATGGTAAACAAAGTGTCCATTCTTGTTCTACACGTCCGATTACTTGACCAGGTGGGGCAGAAATTTCAATACTCTGCAAACAACATGGAAAACAACATGCGGAACAGGCTAATGGTCGGTAGAGATGAATTACTTCTTTCTGAAAATTATCAAAAATTCTCATATCGAATGGACGTGCTGGACCACAACAATTACGAGTACAACAATCGGTATCCTCCAAAACGTAGTAAGCTTTTTGACCGATCGCATTTTTAACAACGTATTTGTTATTAGTCTCGAAGCCTGTAAAAGCCTCCAGAAGTTCAACTTTTTGATTTATCAATAGTTGATCCACAGTTGTTAAATATTCCAAACCGGGTGGGCAGTTAGGTATATTAGAGGGCGCAGTTATCCATTCTGAAACAGCACCTATTATATAAATGTTTCAAAAATTTTATGAAAAAATGATATGTTTAACATATAGGCAAGTTCACAAATAATGTATAAATGAAAATTAAAAAAAATGCAAAATCGTTTGAGTAAATGATCTATAAAGTATAACTTCTTACTAAAAACAAAAGAAATGCTATAGCGATTATTATTTACACAGGATTTTTGCGAATTCATCAAAAAATCTAGTTAACATGTACTATAAAGGAAATGAGATGTAATATTACATATTATTCTATATTAAATGGCTTTCATACGTAATTCGGTAATTCGATGGGTTTGTAATCGATAAAATAATAAAATTAAAGTCTGAACGTCATAAACAGAATAGTTTTTAATAGGCATAATTGCTGAAAACTATTTAAGAAGTCTAAAAACTGCTCTCAACGCAAAACAACTGGAAAAAGTACTTATATCAAATAGAGTTCATACACCTTTGGATATTGAAATTTATATATGGGAAAGTATGTTGACGATATGTCAAAATGCATAATGTTTATATATATTTAAGGTTTTGTTCGTGTTACAGAGCAGTCTGAATGAACAAAATAAGATGTGGGACTCACAGCTAAAATATGCAGTTCAAAAGCGAAACCTATTCAGGTCATGAATTGGTGTAGTGAAATCGCAATGCCTCATATCTTGATGTATAAACTTATTTGAAATATAACTATTTGCAAACTTTAAATATACATTTTAACTATATTTTAGAAGAGTTATATGAGTACAATATGAGTGACATTTACCGCATCTTTACTAGTAAATTTTATTCCATAACGACCTAGTTTCGTTTACATTTCTGGAGAGAACTGCAAACTAGGAAGTGTGGACAATTGAGTGGCAAGTACTAGATACAAACATTACCACCAATAAACACAATTATAAATATTAAATATATTGATATTGTAAATGGATTGTAAATGAAAGAATCTTAAAACTAATGGGACACTATAGCCAAGGTACAAACATTATCGTTGATGAACAGAAAGACAAGTAGAAATAATCTCTCTGAATTGTAGTAGACTTCTAACGTATTGGAGAGCAGAATTCTAGAATAAAAATTCCAGAATGAGAGTAATTAGTATTGCATCTGCTGGCAGAGAAACGAAAGAAAACCTTTTTTAAAATTTTCGCCTACTTTAGAAAAATCACTTTTCAACAATATGTACATATGATGTCTATGCAAATATTCAAATAACCGGTTAGTAACAAAGATGGGAAACAAAACGGTACGAAAACTCTAATAGGACTTATGGAGCCAGTCACTACTTAAATCAACCAACTAACCAATGATATTCATTTCACTAATAACGACACTTTCTTTTGGCCCATTTAAATATCTGTACATACAGCAACATCTCTGACAACTGCTTGCCAAGGCAAGGCAAACACTCTGCTCAGTGACATTTATTTCGCAAATGGTATCAAACAAAAATATGTAAGCATAGCTAAGCAAAATTGGGTAAATGAATCAGATCTCAACATTGACCTGATCCAAACTGGACAAAAAACTACTAGTTGATCTACTCAGCACTACGGTATCGGTCATACCATACTAAAAAATCCTGTTCATATAAAAATGTGCTTACTCTGCAATAATTGTGGTCATGGTTATGGTTTTGTGGATGAGGATTAAACTGTGCTCGATTTCATGTGTCAGTATCCATCATTGGCTTGGAAAAGTCTTGATCGAGTTATTATTCTGCAAAATTAGGGACTTAGCCAAGTTTTAAGATCTTCAGGTTGGTTCAATTTTATATAAATGGGGAGTCGTACCTTTCGGCTTTGCTTGTACGCTTATCTTTAGTCTGCGTATAAACAACGCTAAACCGTGGTGCTACAACGGGCCATTATTTTAACTTAAGTGGACTTTTGACACAAGGTCTTCACAACAACCTTACCTAAGCTAGCATCTAATATTGAAAGTATTTATTCTGTTGTTTTACTTGTATGGTTTATTATTATAAAGTTGTGTACTTTTTTAATTTATTTCTAACCATATTGATGTTACTGTTTGATAGCAAACAACTACTCTTTTTATTTACTTTTATGTAGATATGTTATGTGAATTAAGTTAATTAATATGAAATTAATTAATTAAACTTTATATGACTTCATTTAATATATTATTTATAACTTTTTCTTAAGAATTACCTCAACAATACCCCTTGTTAAGTTGATAAATACATTATCCAATCATTATCGACTTATCTGTAAGTGCGAATCATTTTGACAGTTTATTCTTATAGAACTCGAAACAAAAAAAAATGTTTTCCTTGAATACACATTTTCAACAGAATAATGTTCTTCCAAGATTATGACGTGTATAACATGAACACTTATTACAAGTTAACGTATATAATTAAACATATAATATTAATCGATTACCTAAAGGGTGGAGTTGTAAAACATGTATACTAAAAAGTAAACAGTTATTAAGTAAACAATGACGTAGTAGATTGCATATGAATAACTAATATAATATTCATAATTTTTCAAAAACCCCAAATAGACAATATACTATTTAGTAGGAATGACTTTTTATTAATAATTTTTAATTCCGAGAATAAAGATTGCATTTTTTAAATATGAAAAATACGGAAATATTAAAAATACTTTAAATGGCAAAATGATTATACTTATATTTATTCATTATAAAAGTTATACGATGTTTTAATTATTTCAGGTGACTTTATTATGTGAATCAATTGAATATAAACATTTCACTCAAAAGTTAGAGACTTTGAGATTTGAATTTGGATTAATTTAAAATCAACCTAAATCACTATGTTATTCATTATATATTCTAAACTATAACACATAGCTCATAGTATATAGCAATAAATAAGTAAAGAACTGAATTTTTAATAAACAAATAATGTTGAAATGATTGTAGTGGATCCACTTAAACCTATTCACCTATTATAAATCTCGAAAGTTATAAAACCATTTCAATACTCTTCAATTGGAGGTCTTACAACTGATTTAGAACTTTTAGATATTAATATTGGACAAGCAAGAAATATAAATTTACAAATATCGTCTAAACAGCTGAGACAGTCTATAAAAAAAATTAAATTTTGGTTATTTGTTATCTGTATGTGTCTATAGGAATTATATCTATAGGAATTCCATAAAATGTTTTAAATGATTGCTCATGATAATATGGTAGGGATGTATCATATTCATGTGACAAAGGTTTTTGCACTTAACATCAATTTAGATATATCATTTAGTATGAAAAATTTTTTAAAAAATATTGCATGATTTTGTTTTAGAAGCTCTAAAAAAAATAACTCGTCCATGCATTTTTAGCTGTATATAACATACATCATGATCATATTGTGCTTCATTATAAACGAAATGCAGTGTGGTGTAAAATATAATACATAGATATATATAAACATTCTTATATAAGAAGTTTAGAAAACCTCTCATCATTGGCATGGTTCTGTCTGCAATAAAGCAGTGTGAATGTACGTCAGAGGCGTCGCTAGGCGTCAGCGATGTCGGCGACCGCCGACGGCCTCGCGCCCACAGGGGCCACGCAAAAAGTTACCGACTGTGGATTCTAAGCACTTAATAAATATTTTGAACTATTTGGTTTGATAATGGCATTAACCATATTCGAAATATTTACGAATATTTATACAGTAACCAGATTCATGTTCACAGTTCCAGTCAGTATAGCTTCGACGGAAAGAAGCTTCTCAAATTTAAAATTGATTAATTGACGTACTAAAGAACTATGATGATCCAAGAGAGACTATCTCCATACGGAATTTCATAACTAAAGCGAAAATAGCAGCTGGCGCAAATTATGATATAATTTAAAAAAAAAAATAAAGTGAAGCTAAAAGTAAAAGATTAGCGATAAAACTTTCAATCATTCTTTGTCATATTAGTGAATGTAACTTATTTAGTTTTACAACTGGATTATAAAGGGGGCCTCGCAATTCTAATCTCGCCGACGTCCAGAGTTGGTCTAGCTCCGCCACTGATGTACGTTTAAGACTAATTCCGTAAGAAAACTTCAGTTTGCTGTATGAACATCGTTTGCGTATGCGGTTTATTATACATTTATTGTATATATAGATTTATTACATGCACATATTATTTATGTGGTTTACAGTCTATGAATGGTATTTATATTTTCAACCTGATTGTTTTTAAAAATAAATCTTAAATCATGTGTATTTATATACAATAAGTTGCAATATATTCTGATAATAAGAATTTCTCTGGTCTATGTATTTTTCTAGAAAAAGTTTATATACTTACTCAAAATATCTGACTTATACAGTTATGAAGATAAACACGACAGTCTCAGAGTAGGAAATATTGTTTAAAAATGCTTATGCATGGTGGTTTTTAAATAAACTGTAGACTAGTATGAATAGTTATAAAAATTACTAAACTCCTAAGCCGATTAATAAGCTTTACGTTATGTATACAATCTATACAATGGTAAAACTTGGAATGGCAACAGTTCTTATTATTATCGTAGAGAATTCAGAATTGTGACCTGAAAAGACTTGGATTCAATATCTCGAAGTCCAATTTGCTCAATAAATTACGACGATCATCAAAATTTTGACTTTGATTCATGTGTTTTGAACTCTTATACTTTTGCCCATTTGTTCATAAATCAACCTACATTATTGTATCAAAAATCTGATGATTCCTAAATTATTTTTATTTATAACAAATTGTAACAAAGTTTTTATAAATATTTAAAAATGGAACATTATGGATCATCATTAATAAAATTATAATTAATGATAATCATTTTTAATAACAATAATCAATTATATAATTCAAATTAATATTTTCAATGTTATTTTTAATAATTTCAATAATATAATTTTATTTAAGTAGTACTTCTAGGTCATGACTAACTAGTATTAAACATCACATTAACTTTCTAATGATTTTATTTTCTATATCATCTAAATAGATATAGCTATAGATATAGACAAGAATTATCTGATTATATAGTCTTAAAAACAGTATAGTAGACAGTGGTGGAGCAAGACCAACTCTGGACGTCGGTGACATTAGAATTGCGAGGCCCCCTTTTTAATCCAGTTGTAAAAGTAAATGAGTTACATTCACTAATATGACAAAGCATGATTAAAAGTTTTATTGCTAATCAAATTAAAATAAACACAAATTAAAATAAATGAATTTTCCTACTTTTAGCTTCACTCAATTTTTTTTTAAATTATATCATAATTTGCGCCAGCTGCTATTTTCGCTTTAGTTATGAAATTCCGAATGGAGATAGTCTCTCTTGGATCATCATAGTTCTTTAGTACGTCAATTAATCAATTTTAAATTTGAGAAGCTTCTTTCCGTCGAAGCTATACTGACTGGAACTGTGAACATGAATCTGGTTACTATATAAACATTCGTAAATATTTCGAATATGGTTAATGCCATTATCAAGCCAAATAGTTCAAAATATTTATTAAGTGCTTAGAATCCACAGTCTGTAACTTTTTGCGTGGCCCCTGTGGGTGCGAGGCCGTCGGTATAGTATACGTAGATCATCACTTTACTAAACTAGGCAAAGAGCTCAGTAAAAGAATTTTTGATTATCTATATCGATAAAGGAAAAGTTAAAATATAAGTAAATAATATACAGTTTATTCACTTAAATGAGAAAACGTTCTTTCTTGAAGATAATTTATCATATCACAACTCAATACAGAAAAAATTCTTTATACAAAATTATTAATCATAAGTCAATGATAAGTCAATGATTAAATAATGGGAATAGGGAACCTAGATTCCAGTCAAAGAGATTTAACTGAAATAAAAAAGTAATCGTGAAAACAAAAATAATCTGTTTCCATATATCAAACGAATAACTACTCTAGTAATCTATTACTGTACAGTAAACCTATTTCAGATTTTAGAATGTATTTAATGAATATGAAAATTAAGTTTTTTAATATTAAAATAATATAACTCATTATTATATATTTTTTTTTTTTTGAAGAAATACTAATACGAGGTGTGATCAAGAAGTTGAGAAAATTTTTAACTTTTCTTTAAAAAGGATTTGTTTAATTTTTAATTTTTTAATTTGACAATTTATTTCAACTTTAATATCAATTAACAGATCCGTTACGATAGAATTTCTAAGGAAGAAGATCAAGAATCATAACTATTGAATTTATATCGAACTTATTTCGAATTTGTATCGAATTTATATCAAATTTATTTCGAATTTATATTGAATTTTTATCGAATTTGAAATACTTATCGTATTGATTTTTTTTATGAAGAAACCTATATTTTATTCGATTTAAAAACTATTGCTTTTTTATTCTATTTCTCAAGATTCAGTACTTTTTTCATATTCAAAACCCATTGCTTTTTCATTCTATTTCTCAAGACTTCAATTTTTTTTTAAGAAAATTATTACAAAAACTATAGTTTAAGATGTCAGTTTTTAATTAATTTTTTTTATAAGAAAACCTATCACAACAATGATAGTTTGGGATGTTAAATACAATAGTCCAACTATGGATGTAGTACCACAACTGCATAATGTTTGTATGTACCTGTATAATTAGAATTGAGATCTTATGTATTTATGCCTAAGGTCGAAGAAAATATATGTAGACAATTTTTGTTGCGAATGTGTTTGTGTATTACAAAAATACACAGCGACAAAAAAGTGTATATTTATTAACTAACATAATTTCAACAAGATTTTTATATATTTGCTGAATTAATTATCTTCGTTTATTTAGCTTTTTAATAAAATTATTGACATAACTTATATTAAAACTTTATTTTTTTCAAAACTTAAAAACTTTCAAACAATGAAATATTATAAAAATTTTACCAGTTTTGCTATGTACACACAAAAATTTTTTACCTATACTCTATGAGAATTTAGAAGAATTTCATCCATCACTACTGAGGGACTGAGATGCCATTTATTGATTTGTGAGAAATGGATAAAAATCGCAGATGGACAAATAAGTTCTCAAAAGCTCTCTGATCTAACATTTTATCACATAAAAAATCTATAAATACACTAATGTTTGTCTTACTCATCCGCTCGGTAAACATTAAGCATCGCAGCTACCTGGTAGTTAGCATGTGCTTTACTAGCTATACTCAAAAAATTCCCTAGACTAGATAAACAAGATATAGCGAAAGCAATTTCAAAATTCTTTTACATATTGATAACACCCCGTATAGTGTAAACAATGACTTCATAAAAGATTTAAAAGTAAATACCTGGTGGAGGTACTACAACTCCCGGTTGTGCTGTTATAGGAGCATATTGTCCATTGAAATTTGTTTGGAAACCACTATTATCCACATGAGGTTGACTTCCATCAAAACTTTGATTGTAATAAAGTGACATGGCATGCAATTTTTAATCAGATTACCTTGTTCTGATAATAATAATTATATTAAAAAAAAATAATGTTTTCTAATAAAAGTTCACCAGTAGTAAATTTAAAAAAAAAACTACAATGTTATATACATATATATATATATATATATATCCAATATTTACGTACAATTAATTTCACTAAAAATTTAATTGAACGATAATAATAATTTTAATTTCACTTTATTCAATTAATTTTTTTTAAGTTATTATATTTCATACTAACACGAAATTTAAGCAAATATTATTTTTATTTTTGTTCTTTCCGAATTACTCGCGCTGTGTTCAATCAATGAAACATCCATAACGACTGCTCTATGCTTCTGACCGGCCATGTAAACGAGTTTGGGCTTGGCAAGAGTATACAGGGTCAAATAAGGGTGCAGTATGATTGTTAAAAAAGTTATTACTTATCATATCAATTATATGAATTCGTAAAAGATTTCACTACTATCCTGTAAATATTTCTGCAATATATCAACTTCAGAAGAATTCGCTTTAGCTAAATGCGTTTTGTTATTGCATCGTACAACAGGTAATAGAATTTAATTAACATTTATTGTTTTGAACATGACTATAAGCAATTATAATAAATACCAAACTAGCCACTCTACTAAGTACATCACATATATTAAGCTGATGAAACCCCGAACAACTATAATATTCTAAAGTAATAATTAGCAAGTACATACCGCAATAATTATACGTACAATTTACATGAATAATTCTATGCATTTCTAAATAAATTCTTTTTATGCCCGGAAATTAGCAAAATTATTTCAATATAAAAATAATGTTTATATTAATGTTCTGAAGCTATATGAAAATGTGCACGAATCGCAACCTATGGTTTCTAAATGTATGAATATTAAATTAAAATCTATAGATTTGAATTTCATTGATTTTTGAACTCAAAATTTTTGCTATTGCATGTTTTTACATGACCGATGTATATAGGGTGTTACCTAACTATTTGGTTCTGCTATAGTGCGAACTGAGACCCCACAGCACGTATCAGAAGTATACCATGCACTGATATATGTACATTTGTGCTAGACGAACGTACCTGAGATCATATATAATACAACGCAACGGATTGTCAACGCTAAATCTAGTCGATGAATTTGTTACAATAACAGCGCTGGATAAAGCATATCCAAATATAATTAGCTTATATACCATGTACTAACTGTTATTGCTAGTCATGTTACCTACCACCGACAAGAAAGGTGGTCTTTTCAGGCAAAAAGAGAAGGAAGCAGAAAGACGTGAATATGAAAAACTTGAGAAGCTGGATGACAAGAACAAGACTCGAATATTCTATCAGAAAATCAAATGCCTAATAAAAGGTAATAAACTGGGAGTTAATTTCTGCAAAGACCACAGTGATAAGCTGATGATAGATGTCCATAGCAATCTTAATATTTGGGTAGATCACTTCTCGAATCTACTACATGGCAGTAGTAGTAATGTAACTGAAAGCAAATATAATCTCGAATTTTCAATTATTAATGCTGAAATAATCCTCCTGATCATAATCAACTTAAAACAGATAAAATGCGGCTCAAAAACAACAAAACTGTAGGCTTTGATGGATTACCGTCGAACTGTTTACGAGTTCGTAAAACTGTTGGCGAAGACGTATTAAAATGCATGCAAGAACTACTTCGCAAAATATGATCGGATGAATACATGCCCAACAATTACTTTGCCAGATTCAGGTGATCCTACAATCTGCGCCAATTATCATGGGATCAGTCTTTTAAATATCGTATACAAAGTTCTGTCAAACGTTTTATGTGAAAGATTAAAGCCAATCGTCAAAAAAATATTTGCACCTTATCAGTGTGGCTTCTGACCTGGCAAATGACAGTGCGTCAAATCATGGACAAGACCCATTAAAAGCAAATCGACACAAACAATCTATTTGTCCACTTTAAAATCGCTTTTGACACTACGGCAAGAAGAACTCATTATGCTGCTATGTTTCAATTTGGTATCCCAGTAAAACTTATGCGACTTATGTTAAATGAGTAACACTATCAGCTTTGTTAGAATCGAGAAGAACCTCTCAGAGTCGCTTGGTACTCAACAAGATTTCAGAAAGGATGACTTTTTGGCGTGAAACTAATTTAACATAAGGTTGGAAACGATACAGATGTAAGATTAAATCCGTTTTATGTCACCCGTAATAATTGAATACAAAAATGTTTTTCTTTTGCTCGTCTTCACACTTTGGTGGTCTATCAGAGCGCTCGCTGCAATTCACATAGAAATTACTACTTTTACTACATTACATGAAAACTATAAAGACAAGTATGGTTTATACTCTATACTCTATACTAATTAGTAGTAGACAATACAATAAAACTTATAGTTGCAATACTTAATACACTTCTTTTTTATGTTACATTGCAATACAGTCTATAAATAAATAAATAATATTTATTTTAATGAAATATCTAACCATCTTTCGGCCAACAGTAAGCGCTTATAAATTTGCTGCTGAAAAGAAACTGATTCAAGTCATTTGTAATAAATACAGTTGTGGAACATAGCTACTGAATAAAGTAAAGAAATACAGTCCTCACTCTTATTACTAATATGTATATTCACAAAGAATTAGATGATTCTTGTATAAAAGATGTATTCCTAAAACATAGTTATAAACACCTTAAACGATTGATTACCAAATCTGTCGTAGCTGTGGGGAGGACGCATCTCATCTTTTGTGTTTTTGTCCAGCTCATGCACGTCGTCAATTTAGTACTTTAGGAGCCCCCTTCCTTGAGAACCTGGATCAGTTACAGGATCTGGCTTTAAATAGCATTCTATGCTTCACAAAAGGTTCTAGGTGGTTTTAAGGTTTTTATTATTTATATACGGCATCACAATGGGCCAATAGGCCTAAGTGGATCCACTGGGGATCACCGGTATAACCTATCTTAACCTAAACGATTGATTACCATATAACCCAGTGGTTGCTCCTCTATTAGATGATACTAGTGATATTCCAAAGTTAAGAAAAGAGATCAGCCTTTCCGCCAATAATTAATCAAGTTATTATAAATGAACGGGTTTAATGGAGCACATTAATTTAAATTAATATTACATAAAATTTGTTTAAAATTTTATATGTTTTAAATAAAATATTACCATTAACAAAAGAAAATACATTTATTTAAATTTATTTAAAGGCAGTTTTATTTTGTACTTTAAGTTCAAATTTACATCAAAGGTAAATTTATTTTGTACTTTCCTTTTGTACCACATCTGAATAAAATGCATCTATTTAAAAGGCACATAAGACATTGGAGTGAAGTGAATTAATTAATTTAATTACTCTGCTCAAAATATGTCATATCCTATAAAAAAAAATATGTGATTAATATTAAAAAAAAAAATTATATTTATCGAATCTTTAACACCTTTCACATATAAAGAAATATTCAAATTTAATTAGGTAAAATCAAATATCCATTTGTTGGACGTTCTTAATAACAACCGTCCTCCAACCAAATTTCGATTCACATACAAATTAAACTCTCTTAACCGATATCTCATTAATAAGAAGCTTTGATCCGTTATAGATTACTTGTCTTCGCTGACAAATGCAAATAGAATTTAAAAAATATTAAGATATAATGCGAATCACAGAATGACATTGAAATACTGTGTAGGAAATTTTTTTAAACTTAATTACCTCTGTAATTTACTGTTCATTTCAGTAATGTTTTTCAAAAAATATTTTTTTAATCATTTGGTTTCGTCAAGAACTTAATAAATTTTTTCTACATCGTTGTGAAAGGTATTAAGAAACAATAAGAAATTTTTAATTCATATTACTATTAGAATGGTTGCACCCATAAGTAGTGCTTTCGAACGAACATCCAAGTCCAATGGGAAAGTAACCCCAAAGTTATCGGCATCAGTGAAAAATTCACGAGTGAAACCGCCCCATTTCTTTGCAATTTTTCCAATTGCTGTACCATCGAGTGAGAGGACCTACAAAAAATAATTAGAAAAATTAGAATGTGAAGAAAGAAATAATATATAAACTGGATAATTCATTTATAACAATATATCCATTGAATACTTACACTGAATACCACATCACTTCCGCAACTAGCTAAACAAGATTGACCCTCAATACGTAATATATTTTCATTATTCTCATTTACAATGCGATAAGCTGGTGTGCACCATCCGGCCCAAGCTTGTTCAACACGTCCAATCAAATTTCCCGGTGGTGCCGACACTTCGATACTTTGCGTACAACCTTGCGAAAAAAATTTTGCACACATCCATGGCCGATAGAAGTGCAATACTTCATTGTGAAAGTTATCGAAAACTTTCATGTCAAATGCACGCGATTTACCAATACAGTTGCGAGCCCACCAATTACTTTCCTCTTCAGCATAGAAAATTTTTTGACCGAGTGCATTTAAAATAGCATATCTATTATTAGTCTCCACACCAACTATAGCTTCAAGAGTTTCAACTTTTTGATTTATCATTAGCTGATCAATAGCTGTTAAATATTCCAAACCAGGTGGACAGCCCGGTATCTTAGCAGGAGCGCTAACCAATTCTTAAATATAATATAGTTTTTATTATTAGATATATGACATCATTATATGAATTTAATTTTCTATATTACATTGTTAGTATTATTATTACGTTAGATTGTTAGTATAAGTATTACGTTAGATTGTTAGTATTATTATTAAGTTAGATTGTTAGTATTATTATTATTATCAAAATTAGTGGGTTAATGGCATTCAAAATGTAATCACAGTTTCAAAACTTATTTTTTATATTTTTTAACAAATTTTACATTTCACTATGTGTGTTTTTATAACTTAAATGTTTCACAAATTATTTTTAAAAATTTTTTAAATAAAGTTTTTAGTTAAATAAATAGAAAATTATTTTTTAAATGAAAGTGCAAAATATAAACAGATACGTATATTTTTTTAAAAAATATTATTATTATTATTATATCACAGTATAAACATTCGGTAATGTTGGCACAAACACTACAGAAACTATTAACGCATGTCCAAATTTTCCAACAGAACGAAAAATAATTTACGAAAAAAATTCCATATTATCCAGATTTTTAAGAGAATCAATCAACAACCGATAACATATATATAAATAACCAGGCATACATATGAAAATTTATTATAGGAAATAAGTTGGAACACAATATGGTTGACCATAAAAATCATATATAAACATAAAATGTCCATTGTTATATAAAACTCAAAATTGTACTTGCCAAAACTAACAGATAACTACCAATTTCTAGATAATACTTTTTCTACAACACTAAATTATTAAACAATAAAAGACATCTCAATCTCCTGATCTTAAACACACCAATATTCTTGTCTAAAACATTGATTATGAATATTTGCTAAACACCAAAACACCATTACGAAAAAAATTCTTCATCTGCCTGTCAGATATATAAGTTTATATATATGATAATACATCTTATTGTAACTCTACCAGCGACAGATCAATGACTATTCCCAAATAAGCACATCCTTTCCCAAATAAGCACATCCTTTCCCAAATAAGCACATCCTTTCCCAAATAAGCACATCTTATCTTAAAGACTATATTAATTTGTACAATTGACGGCCTTTAGAAACTTACGTTTCAGAAAAAAATTTAATTTTCCCTGAAGTAGTACTTTAACAAAACCTATCAATAAATTTTAGAATCGAAAAGTTTTCAATATAAACAAATAAATAAATTTAAGCTAAAATTTTTAGTTCTTAATGATGCTGTTGTAATTGTGGTTTTTTGTAATTACACCTTTATGTTAACATTAAACAATGAATTATGTACCGATGTTCTTACTTCTCAATTACTAACTATATAAAATTATATATTTTATTTTAATAATTAAACGTTTTAATGACCAAAAGAAATTTTTTTTTTATTTTTTATTTTATTTTAAAATTTGTTTTCTTAGTTTACTAAAAACTTCTGTCAAATTGATTTCTTGAATGTGTACCTTCTGTTCAAAAAGTCGGATTTTGTAAATAAAACACACAAATTTAAATTTTATTCCAAATTTATTTTACCTCCTTCAAAATATTCTGAAGGGATACACATATGCCAACGCTTAACCCAATCTTCCATACACTTTTCGTAGGCACGTGAAGGTATGGCTTTTAGTTCAGCGAATCCTCTTTTCTCTTTTATCGACTCAAAAGGCTTACCACGAAGGGGCAATTTGAGTTTTGGGAACAGGAAAACGTCGCACGGATCCAGATCTGGCGAATATGGTGCCTGAGCGATGACAGTGGTGCCGTGTTTGGTCAAAAAATCGCGTACAACAAGAATTTTCCATAGTAAAACTCGGTAAATGCACTTGAGGTAGTCTCACATTAACAGCTGCTGTAAACAAACTAATTGACAGATGGCGCTCAAATTTGTATCAATTTTAGCCTTTCTTGGGTGTACCAACTTAACAAAAATTTTTGAAAAAAGTTTATCACTTAAGAAGTAGTTAACAAACAACAAAATCCGGACGCTTTTTGAGCAGAAGGTACTGCTTTATCACCACAATGCCTTAGTTTTAGAAGTAATATTTTATGTTAAGGTTTTTAAAGTAGTAAAAAAATTAGTTTTTCTGGCTTGGTCTTCATAAATTATCGAAAAGATAGACGAAATGTGTAGAAGTCAATACTGAACATTTTAAATGAAACCAAATTAATTGCCCCTGAAATTTAAGTGATGAAAAACCAAAACGGACCAAACCCATAGCAAAACAAAATACATTTATTTAAATTTCTTTAAAGGCAATTTTATTTTATTAAAATTCACATCACACGTAAATTAATTTTGTACTTTTTTTTAAAAAGTACAATCCCTGAGTAAAATGCACTAGTTTAAAAGGCACATATGACTTTTGAGTGAAGTGGATTAATTCATTTAGCTCTCAAAGTGCATCATATCCTATAAAAAGATATGTAATTTAGATTTAAGGGAATGAATAATGTAAAGAAAAGTTAATTACATTTTAACTGAATCTTGAATACCTTTCACAAACAAAGAAATATTATAATTTTATTAGGTACAGTGAAAGCTCCGTTTAGTGGGCGTTATCCTAATTAGGTTTTATTTTCCATAGAAACTACATTGTATTGTACGGGCAGTTCTCTTAATAAGATCGAATAATTTATCAATTTGGTGCCCAATTAAAAAAGCTTTCACTGTTGATTGTTGATGCAAATTTTCAGCAGTTTTAATAATTTTATAAATTATTTTCCATCTATTATAGATTATTTTTTTTTATTAATCTCCGCTGATGTGTATAAATTTCATCAATCAAATTTTTTTGTTTTTTTTTTTGTTTTTGCTGCACAAACATAGATTTCATTGCATCTTCGCTGGCAAGTAGAAATTGAAGTTCAAAAATTAAGATCCTCACAGATAATAGTGAAGAAAACAGACACGTCTTTGTCACTATTACACAAATATAATTACCACACAATCTTAATATATTTCTTCTACATAATTGTGAAAGGTATTAAGAAACAATAAAATTTTTTAAATTGATGTACTATGAGAAGAGTTGCAGCAATAAGTAGTGCTTTCAAACGAACATCCATGTCCATTGGGAAAGCAACTGCAAAGTTATCGGCATCTGTGAACAATTCACGAGCGAAACCACTCGATTTCTTTGCAATTATTCCAATTGCTTCACCCTCGATTGGAAGAACCTGTGAAAATAATTAGGAGAATTATTTTGCATAATGTGTGTAAAGAAATAATATGAAAATTGGGATATTCATGGAGTTCGTTACTATATTTCCATTTAATACTTACATCGAATTTTTTAGTCTTTCCGAAAGTAAGTTGACCCTCAATACGTAATATTTTCTCATTATTTTCATTTTTAACGCGAAACTTTGGTGTAAACCATGATCCAGCGTTGTTTTCAACACAGCCAATTAAATTTCCCGGTGGTGCCGATACCTCAATACTGTCCGTACAAGATTCCCGGCTGAAATGCAGTACTTCCCTCTGAAAGTTGTCGTAAACTCTCACTTCAAATCCACGATTTTCGTCGCAGCAGTTACGACCGAACCAACTACTTTCCTCCACAGCAAACAAAACTGTTTGACCCAGTGCATTCAAAATAGCATATCTATTATTTGTCTCCCCACCACCCATAGCTTCAAGTATTTCAACTTTTTGATGTACCATTAGCTGGTCAATAACTGCTAAACATTCCAAACCAGGTGGACAACCTGATATCATAGCCGGAGCGCTGACAAATGCTTAAACATAATATATTTTTTATTATTAATTATATTACATAATAATAGCATATGTTATGGAGTTTTTATTTCTCTATTTAATAATAAGCACTACAACAATAATTTACAGTAAGCACTATGATTATAATTAAGAATAAGCACTATTGTGATTCAGCAGTGTTTTTTCTATAATCTACACTCCAACAAAGCAAAGCCAAAAAAAGGACTGTAAAACTGTTATCCACGCGTTAACTAGTTGCTTCGAACGAGCTGCTCAAGCGAAAAATATGTTTTTGGGCTTACAAGGGTCGTGTACGATATCACTCCCTCTCCATTGTCTGGGCGTAACAATGTGACAATAAAATTAGGGATGTTAGGGATTTTTGTTAACTGTCTTATAGTCTTATATGACTGTCTTATTCTTCCTGTAGAATGGTCATCAGCTCATAGTTGGGTTGAGTTACCTTAAATGGTACCTTGAAAGATAGTCGGACAGTATCGTGTCATAGGTGATCAGTCAAAACTGTATATTTTCTACCTTCGCTCATGTGTTTTACGGTTTGGAAAATGTTAAGCAATTCTTTATCATACGTTCTGTGTCGGTTTTATGTCTAGGTAAGATGCTATGACTAAAAACCGAGTAATTCGAAGTGACACTTCGTATGTATTATAATGTTACATCTACTATTGAGGTTCTTGCATCGACATGGAGTACTAGCTTATCGTCTGTGATTGGGTGTGCTAACGTACTTGGTTCTGCGAATATATTTTGTTTTGAGTTGCAGCTGATGCGACAACGTACGTTTGCCGTATGAAACGTCGATTATAATTGACCGCAGCTAGAAATCGTCTTAACTCCTGAAGAATGTTTTTTTATGAAGTCAAGTGTTGTAAAAACAGATTTGTCGCCTAATGTCTGCGTAAAGTCTTGCACATGCCGTATTGGATATCGACAAGGTATCGTCTGGTCACATGGTCGCTACATCCCAAATTTTTTTTAACAGAGTCTAATGGGCTAGTTCACTCACTCAGCTATGATTCACATATTCGCATTTTGCGACAATAATGGTACGCGTAACATGACACGCGTAACAATTTGATTTGCCTTGATTTTGTTGTAAGATGTTGGAATCACCAGCTCTTTGAATGCCATTAGCTGATTCATGAATTTTTGATCAGTGTTCACAACAAAAATCAATTCGTACTGATGGAATACAGTTGTACAGGGTACTTTTAAACTAGTGGTATTATCGATAATGCATTTGCATTTGATGTCTACTATAAGACCACAGTGTTCAAGGAAGTCTGTACCAAGAATTCCAAGAACAGGCAGGTTTACTTAATGGAGTCACTCGTCAATTTCAACGCCCAAGCTCCGTTTACCATCCTCAAAGAAATTTTACAAGCAGACATGTGTTTGTATGATATCTATCATTTATATGTGTTTTTACCACTAAAAAGTAAATCCCGACCATATTGCTTGTTACGTTACTTCTAATGACCAGAATTGAACATAAGTCTGGTGCCTACATACCAATCACTTCGTTCTGGCACTGTTCTGTTTGAAACGTCCCAATCCATAGAAACCAAATGTCTGTTAGGTGAAACAGTTGTAATAACTGTTGACACATTTATCTCTTTTCAGTTTTCAGTTTTGCATAGCCATACCGATGGAAACCCAGCCTTTAGAGAAGCTTGTTGTCCAACAACTACTTTACACAGATATTCTCTAACTTTGTTAACCCGTATATGTCTTTTTCCAATTCATGGTCCCTAACCCTATCCTGACATCCTCTAGAAACATCGTCACTGTCTGTTGTAACAGCTTTAATAGCTGGTATTATCTCAGCCCATGCTCTGGATTGAACTCGCATTTGGTTGGACTTCAAATTTCATTGACAACTATCGCCAACTTCCACCCATAATTCCATTGTCTCTTTTATGTTGATAACGGAGACTATCTGAGCTTTAAGCTCTGATCACACTTTCATCACAATCTCCATCCCTTCTACCAAGGTGATATTTCTCTGTCCTCTGATTGGAATGAGCCAAAGGTACAATTTTGCAGCATTATCATCAAATCATGATATAACTCTATACCCCTTGCCGATATTCTTCGCGGACTAAACTATGCGGACAGCTAGTCTCCGCATAGTTATCCTGAACGACAACATTTGTAAAATGGTGGATGAACATCGCCATTAAAGCATTGTATAGTTCTTCCCGCCGCAATAACAAAGCGATAATATTTAATGGAATCACATTCCCTGAATCCAAGCATTATGCCCAACAATTCTGGCTTCTTTTTTCAATCAGTTCACAACTTATCCGTTATATATGGAAGACTGAATGAATAATCTCTCTGTTGAAGCTAGGATTCCCAATACTATCAAAGATATAAACATCGGTAAATTCAAGATCTCCACCACCACCAAACCCAAAATCCTGGGTGTCGTAATGGACAACATGTTGATATTCTCTGCACATGAAATAGCGATATGCAGTCGTCTGAAGTCACACAACAATGTGTTGAAAGCTCTCGAAGGTTGCTCATGGGATAAAGATAAAAAAATACTACTGGACACATACCAATCAATAGGGCATCCTATTGCGTTCTATACAGCTCCAATAAAGAGTTTTGAGTCACCTAATTCGTATTTCTGCACCAAACGTCACAGCTTACGATTTTTTTGGTCAGCGTAATAATGAATTAGTTGCTTTTTTGATTGTTTTTTATTCGAAGGAACTTTTACATTATCTGCAATAGTTTTTAACGCTGCACACCACATGATCGTATACTATTTGATCAATTGTGATAATGGCATTTAAAAATTGAGCCTCCGTTTGTACAAAATAAAATTTTGGATCATGCTTGATGAAAGGCAGTTTTTTTATACACAATCGGCAAATATTATGCGAGTTTTGCTCGGCAAAACTCAATACAGAATACAAACTTTTACTTTGACTAATTTAGTAAATTACTAATTCGATTAAGTAAATTAATAAAATTTAGTTACAATTCATACACTGACAAAAAGGAAATCAAGAAATTGCTTAAAATACTCGTATTAAGATTTTTAAGAATTCACTTCATTCATTTACATACTTTTAAAAGTAAGTACTATGTAAGTAAATATTCTACAGCAGTTAAGATTCCAAATGCCGTTCACCACCCCCCACAGGGATCACATAATCCCTGCAGGCTAACAACATGACACCTGCTAAATCCGACCAACCGGATTTAAACGTTTTGTGAAGACAAAGTTAGTTTGCCATATATCCACATTCAATTTGCAATCTTTTATAGGGACACCGACATGATGACATATTGGTTCTTATGACTGTGTTTTAATAAAATATTGGTCCTGGCTACTAGTTATAACGACCTAATAAAGAAATACTTTTTTTGTCACTCTTCTCATTGGAACATTTAGAGAAAAATTATTATCTAAAACAAACTTTCGTCAACTGCGAGAACGCAGAGTATATAAAGTGACCATCAAACAAAAATTATGGGTTACTTTTTTCAGTAGGAAAATAAAAATAAGTAAAATAAATGTACAGATATTGTTTTTTAAACAAATAAATTATCAGTAATTTAATAATAGGTAAATATAAATGATTTGCGCATATCGGTTATAACGACCGGAATAAGTCGGCCCCATTTGAAAACTCATTCGACAGCTACAGCCATAGCTTTAGCTTTAGCATTCTGTTAATACAAGTGCTATAAAACGACCATATCAATTTCATACAATTATTGACACTATAGATACCAGATTTTTAAATACAAACAAAAATTAACAAAACTACTGAAATTAAAAACATACTTCATTTTACATGCATTTAATATGTTATTTACTTCAAAATGTACTCATTCAAATATATAAATTCATATGTACCTAAGAATGCCTTAGTTTTAGAAATATTATTTGATGTTATAATTTTACAAGTAGTAAAAAATATAATACTTAACAAAAGTTCCAAGAAATAGTACTATTTAAAAAACGATTCCGAGTTTCCAGGAGTAGTAATTCGACAACGTACTTAAGTAAGTTCGAATACTCTAAACTTTTTGTACATCGGCTAGTAAGTGTCGATATAGCTTAGTTGTAGAAATATTGAACTTTCAAATTCTAAATCTATTAAATTGATTTTGATAACACTAAATACAGATGCCACTCTCTGACAAATCGCAGTATACATAAGATCGGAATCTCCAACTGTTTAGAATTTGCACCTCTTCAATACCTCTTCAAAGTGACATCACGTATATATTGTATCATATAATGAATATAACAATATTATATAATATTAATAACATTAACCAATTAGCCTATACCAAAATATATAAAGAAAACTTGGTAATAATTTGGAAATAAATAATATTTAACATTTTTAAATCACAATTTTAATTAAAACATAATTTATTTAAATTTTTATAATTATTATTACAAATATAATATTTAATTAAATAAATATTCAAACTTAACTAAAAATATCTTCCTGTATTTGTAGATGTGTTATACATGTAAATTGAAATATAATATTTATATATAAAAAAATTTAAGCACAAACGTTTATATCAATTAAAATATATATTATATAAGCAAAATTTTCAAATAGCAATGCCTACCACCATAAACAATCTCAATTATATCAAATAAAATATTTATTTAGTTATACTACTTTAATGTAATAATAAAAAAATTATTTAAAGAATCTACGTACATAAAATTTTAATTTAATTTCTTAGTTTTGGATTGTTCTATAAAAATTATACGATATTAATTGGTTGTTATTAATGAAGACACTTAATGTTCCCTAAACTATTTATAAAAAGGCAGCAATTTTTATATAAAAAAATTAAAATATTAACAATTTTTGTCAGTATTATTTTTAAACTAAAAAAATATATACTTTATTTTTATATATATTATAATTAAACTAAGAACTAGTTAATAATTACCTGAGAGTTAAAGTGTATTCGTATATGCTTTTATAATATTGTCAGTAATATTAACATATATATATATATATAAATATTAGAAAGCAATATCAAACAACAAAATGCAATTATTCATTTTACATACATATAATATGAGATAGGGTAACCTTTTAAGAATTTAATTAACTTTGGCCGAAAAGACTAGTGAATCTTTTAAAGATTTTTTATTTGTTATAACAAAATTTTGAAAAAAAACTTATTTATATGCCTTTAAGGCAAATTCAAATATTTTAAGTCGTTGAAATGCTTAGCTTAGCTGAAATGGCTTGTTTCATAAAAAATTAGAACATGCCGGGACGATCAGATTCTCTATTAGCTTGTTTCTCGAAGAACATAGCATCCTGTAAATAGAAATAAATTATAAAATAAAAAATGGGTTATAGTATACGAAAATATTTTTCAACTTACAATTAGGAAGGTTGCACCCAAAAGTACTGCTTTCATACGCACATCTAAATCAAGTGGAAATGTTATACCGAAGAAATCAGCATCTGTGAAGATCTCTCGCGCAAAACCAGACCACTGTTTTGAGATTTTACCAACATTTTCGCCAGTAAGTGAAACAACCTAATAAAAAAAAAAATGCAATATAATATTTTTCTTCTTTAATTAAAACTATGCTATATATACTCACATTAAATTCTACATCACCACAAAATGAAAATGTACAAAATGGACCTTCAATACGTAATACAGTGTCTCCGACATGATTCTTAATACGAAATGAGGGCGAACATATAGACCATTCTTGTTCGACTGTGCCTATCACATTACCCGGTGGTGCTGATATTTCCATCGTTTGTAAACAACAAGGAAAGCAGCAGGCTGAACAAGCCAAAGGACGATACATATGTATTACCTCGTTTTGGAAATTATCAAATACTTTCATATCAAATGGACGTGCCGGGCCACACATGTTACGTGTGCAACAATCATTATCCTCCACAGCATAGTAAACTTTTTGACCAAGCGCATTTTTAATGCTAAATTTATTGTTTGTCTCGAAACCAGTAAAAGCTTCAAGTAATTCGACCTTTTGTTTAACCAAAAGCTGGTCGACAGTCGTAAGGTACTCCAATCCGCGCGGACAATTCGGTATACCTGCGGGTATACTCATCCATTCGCCTAAAAAATCACATAATTACAAAACAATAAATAGAACAACAAAATAAAAAATTCTAGGTTTCTGTGATTTTTTGTTGTTGTTGATGAAGGGTTGTGTCTTTTTATAGGTCCCCAATACATAGTAGATGTGAAAGGAGTTTATTGGAGTGTAATGTTTGGAACATAGTGGTGGGATAGTTAGAGCTCCTATAGACTACATATATACATTTTTGATCAGCACGAGGAGATGAAATGATACTCGTATATTGTAGTTATGTCTGTCGGTGTCTGTTTATTCGTATACGAATTAGTCTCTTGTTTTCCAATTTCACAAATAAATTTTTACACATACACTATACAAAAATTTTGAATATACATATATATATATTTTTTTTTAATGACCAATGAATTTGTGTACTACATGTTAACCGAACCGATTTATGTCAAAAAACTTTACGAATAATTTTTTCCATCGAACTCGGTACAAATTTATATAAAAACGTAGATATAAACAAACTACTTAGACACAAATATTTGTATTAAAGACTGTTGTTAGTGTGTTATGCTAAGTGTGATAAACTACTGTAATTCTATTGTTAATAAACTTTTTAATTGAGCAGCTTAGTTGCACTTTAACATTTATTAATGAATAAATCTGTATCTGTAGATTTCAACAAAAAAGAACACTTACTCCTTCTTTTGTTGAAATTTATTAAACTAAGGCATTTGCCGTTCACATGTAAAATGTCAATTGGATGATAATAAGTTTAATTGGTGACTTTGACATAGAGTGGAAAAATTGTATATGACAATTATGAAAAGATTGAGAAATCTAATTTCATGCTATCTAAAAAATGAAGAAACTGAATATGTTTAAATTTTATTAGTGATATAAAGTAAGTGCCTATTCTTTAGTTTGTGCATGTGTTAGAGGTGCTTTTAAAAAATTTTATAACTTGCATTTATACATTGAATTAGATTAAATTTATTTTATTTGTGAACAATATCTTATCTGAGATATACTTGCAAATATAATTTTTGTTGTTGTTTGCTTTCTTTAAGAAACAAAAGAGTTTATTTACTTTCGACAAGATAAGTCCAAGATTAACAAATTTTTATCGATTGATAAGTGTATACGTACTTTAGAATTTATAAACAATAAAAATTAGAAGTATCTGAAACAATTTCATAATATGATTACACGAATCTGAGAACGGTGAGGAAAGGATGGGAACATAAGATTTCTAATTAATATCAGTAACATTACAAGAAATAACTAGTAGGATGGTAATCACTATTAAATATTTAAATATAATAAACAAATATACACCAATATATTAAATAATAGTTATATACACAGTATTTAAAAGTGTTTTATGTCCCAGAAGTAGTTTTTTGGTCCGAGAAACGAAAATATCTTATAGGTGAAAACTCCATTTTTAATATTTACCCAGCTAAATGGGTTAAAAAAGAAACTACCTAAAAAATACTGCAGTCATATAAATCTAAACTGTTTATACGGGTAGCTTAAGTCGTAAACTACCTGTTTTTTGATCGGAGAAACGAAAATAACTTATAGGTGGTAACTCCATTTTTAAAATTATACATTCGTTAATTGGATAGTGATCAAATTTGTCTATATTTATATAAACAAATACTTTAAAACGTCAGTATTGTTTTGTAGTGCTCAATTATTACGCCTGTGAAAAACCAGTTAAAGTTATTCAGCGTTTACAAATGTTGTGTTAAGAGTCATTGTAAATTCGACTTATATGCCCGGGAAATTGACTTCCACCGCCACCTCAAGATAAGTACGGCTAATGAGCAAATACAAAAAATATGGAAACTTATTACAACAGACTTTATATGCTTGCAAATGAAGGCTGATCTTCATTATGATCTCAAGATAAATATAGTCGCTGAAGAAATAAAAAATACGAAGAAAAATATTAAAACTTTTAATATACATGTAACCGAAGAAGCCGAATAACATATAAACTATGTGAATGAATCGTTTATGATATATAGAGTATTTTAAAATAACGTTTTTTCAGAATAAACTTTATTTAGTAACCTGTATATCGGTTAATATTTAAAATGCATCCCAGATCTTGCACCAAGAAAACATTTTTTGTATTTATACTGGGATAAATTGGGAATACCCTGTATATTAGTATTTCTATCGCTACTCACTTTGCCGTTCAACCAAATGCATCTACTAATTTAAGAGTTTTCTTCAACTCGATATAGTATAACTCATATAGTATAAAAATATTGTATATAATAATAAAAATACTACATATTTAAAGTTAAACATATATATTTCAATTCAATTTCAATTATTAAAAGCAGAAAAAATTAAATTCAACATATATAATACCTTCCACCTCTATATATATAATAGATTATATATTGCCACCTTATTGATTAGAATTAATACAGTTTTATTACAAGATTTAATGTTTAGAAGCAGGAAATCAGCAGTTATTATGTTTTCAAAGCTTACTTTGAACAATCCAGCTATTTGTTGATTCAAAAGATTGATTGGATTATTAAAGTAGTGCATCTAATATAAACGGATTGGAAAATGTGCATACGATGAATAAAGAAAAATATGCACAATAGGCCTATTATCATTTTTAGAAGCTTACTAGCAATTAAATCTTCTACATTCAACTATAGGTAAGACTAACTGATTATAAAGCTTCAAAAACATAATCCGTCTTATATCATATAATTATTCAAACTAAATCTGATCATTTATCAAGTATTATTGTTATGAGTATTATTATTATGATTATTATTATTATGATTGTTATTGTTATGAGTATTATTATTATGATTATTATTATTATGATTATTATTATAATGATTATTATTATTATGATTATTATTATTATGATTATTATTATTATGATTATTACTATTATGATTATTATTATTATGATTATTATTATTATGATTATTATCATTATGCTTATAATTATTATGATTATTAACATGTTATAATAATCTTATAAATTATTATAATTCGTACACAAATCATGATTTTTAAAGAATGGTCCTAAAAATTATTTTTTCATTGCTTATGCCATAGAATTATTTTATAATTATTATTATACAATAATTAAATTTATGAAAATGATTTTTATAACTATTCATTTATTTTTATTTAACATGTTATTATAATAGTTAATATAAATTTAATATAATTAGTTAAAATATATAGAGTTATTATAACTTTTAATTTGTTATTATCATTATCATATATCATATTATCATATACCATAAAATTACTATTATTATAACGAAGTAGTAAATTTTGTTCATACCACTTTCATATTAAAATTATTTTGACATATTTATTATCATTAACCCATTAATTCTATAATTTTTTTTTTTGTGATTTATTTATAATTAACAAAGGCATTATTTCGTTTCACAATTAGTATTAAAAATATAAATAGAATAAGTTTATTTTTTAATTAATGATTTATTATTTCTTTATTTATTTTATTCAAAATCTATTACATTTTCATATTATAACCGCAGAATTTTCGGCAATGATAGTATAGCCGTGTGTCAACTTTTATTTATTTTTATTATTTTTTTAAATTATTATTATTATTTTTATTAATGCTTAATCATAATATAATTTGTTATACTAACATAATTATAACTATTATTTCTAATATTCATAATGTTTACCACTGTTTACTTTTTTATCAGTTTCATTATCATTAATAATTTTCAGATCATTATTTAAGATATAAACACAATTTTATCATAGTTTTATTATATTTTTGTGTCACTTAAGAATTTTATAACCATTATCATTACTAGTTATATTTATCACAAGTGCTATTCAGATTAGAAATCAGATTGTAACTACTGTCACTGCTGTTATAACACTACTAACATATTTATCAAAACAATGACTTGCTTTTTATTAATTTGTATATATTTCTTCAATATACACTTTTTTTTACTTCTTTGTATTATTATTTGCTAACTTTCAATCACTGATAAGAATAGAAGTAATGCCCACCTTTTATCCTCATCACTCATATAATATTCGTATCCCTTTCTCTGAGCCGATTTATTTAAACGCAATGATCTACGTAATTTTTTCGGTAATGGTTTGTTTGATTCACGATATACCAAATTCTTTAAATAATTGGTACGTCTGCACATATTATCATATTTTTCCTGTAGATTATGCCAAATTAGACGCAGGATGCTCACATTGCCTTGCGTCTTCTGAAAATCAGATCCAGACAAATCTATTGTTGAATCGCAGACTTTATTTTTGACAGTTTCACTCATAGCGCACAGTTAGTATTGCAAAACGATTTTAAGAAGATAGTCCACGAACTACCAGAAAGCAAGTTACTACCAGACTGGTGATTGCGACTGCTTGTAGATCGCTCGTTAACTTGCTCTATTCCATAACGAATTCTCATAAAAACTCAAAAAGAAAAAATGTTCTTTGTGTTATTTTATTGGCTCAATTAAAGACAACGTATATCTGATAAAGCGGCACGTTCGCAATTTTAAACGCTTTTATCAACTGAACAGGGGCAGACGAGATATATTTTTAGTGTTTAGACGAATATGACTGATTTTAGTATGTAAAATTATCATTGTTGAATTTCACAAGAGCACAAATAAACCACTTTACAACAGAACGCATTGACACAAATATAGAACAATTAGGCTTGTCAAATGTTTATTTGGAAAAGTAAATATAACAATAATTTGCTTGTTTTACGTGTGATTATCTACAGAACTGGACAATTAATACTCTCTCTTACGCACAAAATACACTTTACATAATCTGTATAATGTTGCTATCTTTAGCAAATTTCAGGCCACTGACAAGATAGACTTTAGCATTACAGAATACGTTCTTATCATAGCTGGAGAGCACAAATAACTTCTTTATGAAAACAACTTTTAACTGAATGAGTTTATTAAACCTTCAGTATTGAGATTGCTGTAATCAGCAATTTCATGAATTCACAGCATCCAATCACTCAACATAAATAAATAAGTAAGCAATTAAAACGTGTAAGTAAAAGCAGTGATTAATTGAAAATATATTTACTCTAGTTAAGCACTAAGTTCAGAAAACTGCGTAATCACTATAACGAAAATTTACCTTGAGCTCCAGGTGGCATTGGTGCACCGGGTTGCGTAATAATTGGTCCTTGTGGAGCACCATAACCTGGCTGAAAGCCACCCGGGCCTGGTTGGGGCCCAGGTTGAAAACCACCAGGTCCAGGTCCATTATAGGGTTGTTGTGGTGGTCCATAATGTCCTGGAGGTGGCTGTTGTCCACCGTATGGTGCCTCCCCATAAGGCGGCATTTGAGGTACTGGTGCGTAACCTTGAGGTTGCCCTGGTGCGTAACCTTGTGGTTGCCCTGGTGCAAATCCCTAAAATCAATAAATATACAAAAACTATTAGCATGACATCATAAACATATTTCTAAAATATATAAAACGAAAATAATTAGAAAAGTGGGCGTAAATTTTTATCGGAAATTCAATGTGTTTTACACTACCAATTAAGATATTAAGATAAAAATGCTTTAAATATTTGAAATCTGTTTTCAAATAATTAATAACATTTAATCTTTTACGAAGAGTTGTTCACGCTATGAAACACAAATTCAAAATGCTTTCAAATATTTAATAATTTTATATAAAATTTTACATATCTAAACAGATAAATTGCATTTTTTTAATTGGAAGATACGCATGTAGTATATGGACATTTGTTCGTATAAGAATAAATAAATACGAAAACAATTCAAATACAACATTTTAACGTAATTAATAATTATACAGGGTTATTACACTTCGAATACCAATAGCACTTGCCGATAAGGTTACATGACATAATGGATCATTTTAAAATAAGTAAATAAATAATATTAAGTTAGGCAGTAAGGTTTATTGAATCATTGAAGATAAAACAATGATAATCAATGATAACCCAACAAATGATATATTTCAATTTTAATGACACTTTCATGAGTAAATCTTGAAGTTGTTGTCAGGACTCATGTCAGCTTAAATTCGACAATGATATCATATTCCAGAAGATAATATCATTAATCTAAATAATCCTCAGCTCAAAGAAAGATTGAGGGTGTTAGCGGCATACATAAAGCAATGCGTATTACAATTAAAGTACAGAGTGGGACAACATCATTATATGTCAGATGTCAGTGAAAGTAGTGAAGGTAGTAGCATAAAATCGTACAGATTATACAGACTATTAATAATAAATTTAGTCTTTCCATAGTATGTGGAAAAAATTACTAAAGAGTTTATTGGTGTAAGCCATAAAGGAGTAAGAGTAAAATATTATAATGAAATCCTTTCAGTGATATTCTATCACTAACTTCGTCTAAATTATTGTTACATTTAGCTTAATTCTGACGTTTCGATATTCTCAAAATATTTTTTTAAAAGTTTTTTAATGTACAATAGTTACAATTTTATGAAGATAAATAGTAGATCATAAAGAAATGATAAGAAAGTATTAATGATATAATACAATAAATAAGTAAGCATGAACAATTTAAGAACAAAGTAAAATTAATTCATTATTATGAATTAAAAAATTATTTTAGCTATTATTAATTATTCGAGTAAATTGATGGTAAATTGAGGGAAATAGTAAATTACCTCGATATGGCAGCGAATATTGATATTTAACAGAATTTCGAGTAGGGTAAATTAGATAAAAATTAGGGATATTAGGTATTATCATTGAGAACATTTTAAAAGATGTTTAATAAATAAATAAATCACTTTTAATCAAAATTAATAAGTGCAATAAACAAATAAGTTAATATTTATATAACTGCAGTGCAAAAAATCCCTAGAAATTTTAATTAACTTTACCTCAATTTACTCGAACTCGCACACGGCCTATATTGTGACATCTTTTTCAGAATACAATCAAAACAAACATTTTTTTTTAAATTATTTTATTATTTAAGGTATTAAGGAACAATAAATAAAACAAAACAAAACAAAAGCAACTAGTTATTAGAGACATAAAGCAACTAGTTATTAGTTATTATCAAAACAAAATCACTTAATTTTCAGAAATTTTTGTTAATTCTGTTATTACTGATAAAATCCCCAGAACATCACTGATAATATTAAACACAACTTATTCTTCTTCTTCTTCTTCTTATTTGCCACTACAGTCCAGTGTGAATCTTGTCCTCTATATTATATACTACCCTACTTAAATCAGACATTGAAAACATAGTCATAAATATTTAGACTTCACTTAACGTAACCTTTAACTTATATATCAATTTGTTACTTTCTTTTAGGGAGTTTCTAAACCAAAGAATCCACCCTGTACACAAAATCAATATTCATCAATGTCTCGAACTTTGTTGAATTATTATTGAAATTAAAAAAAGAAAATAAAATAACACAAACAAATAATAAATTTAGTTAACAATTTAAATGACACTTTCATAAAGTAATCTTAATTTTTAAGTATCAAGATATCAACACAGTTATTTAAACAATAAGAATCTATTACAAATAAATTTCAACTGTAAAGATAATGATAATGTGAATATTACACATGTAAGTATATATATAATATATTATCAACTACAACAAAAATTAATTATTCAATTTAATTTGCAATTTATCTTAGTAGCATTTAGCAATTCACCGCTTTTAAAACTTAGAAGACATTTGCAGGGGCCGAAAATAATAGTTTAAAAAAAAACCACAGTAGCAAAAAGTTCTATAAACTCTTATATAAGTATGTACTTATTATTTTAACAACATTTATCGCTCATATAATATATGATTTTATGTTACTACAATAAAATTCAAAAAATTATAATCAAATTTGCCATATATTCATCTAAAATAATTATTACTATGTGCATTTTACTTTTCCACGTATAAAGGACTTGCATATTCTGTCTTTTATTTTAAAACGCAAAAACAATTCTTATTTTTGCCTTAAACACTAAAAACTCTAAAATAACTATTATTTTTTTAAGACAAAAATAAAACGCTCTATGTGCAACTTAGCTTTGAAAATTAAATTTAAGTCGCAAGCCACGCGTTTTATTTTTAAGCAGAGCGCAATAAAACTCACTTTGTATGCTTGGTGATTATTGTTGCAAACTCACAAACAAAATATTTAAAGCGGTTGGTGCAGGTAAAGAGTTAACATTTTTTTTTATTTAATAAGTGTCGCAATATTACAAATCCAATCTTATATTTTTATAAAATTTAGTTATATTGTATAACTATTAGTTTATAACTATTATATTAGTTATTTATATCAATAATATATAATATATATATATAATATATTTACATGTGCTGTATATAATAGTTATTAAGAAAATTATAAAAAAAAGTGAGTGTTAGATTTAATTATCATACATTTTTTGAGTTTAATAGGGCTGATAAGACTTGTTGGTTTATTTTTTTTTAAATTAGCAATTGTTATTGACATTGGATATTTGTTTTTCTAATGACTCTGGCTATACGAGTTCCCACAACTTCAAATAGCAAACAATTTTATAAAAGAGATCTATGGATACTTGGAGTTTTCCATGAGGTTGAACAACTACTGTGATTTTACATAAAGAAAGTTTTTTGCCCGCCAAATTACGAAATTTATTTGTAAACGCTCTGGCCGATGATGTCAACATACAGTTTACAGATACATTTTAAATACATAAACAAAACGATGAAAATGTCTGCAAATCGATTACCCAGAATAATCACAAAATATGTCCTTGAAACCAAATCAAAATTCAAAATTGCACAGTGGGAATTATTAGCAGCCGAATAAAGTAAAGTAAAGACCTCAACATAAGAAGTACTTGAGAAAAACAACAAAACAAAATTCTATAATGTATGAACAGTAGAAGGAAAAACCAAATCGAAATACAACATTTATCCCTCATATAATGCACGCATTTATGTTATTAAAATAAATTAATAAAATAAATAGAAAAAATATAATAAATAAAATAAAAGAGAAAGTAGGCCTAACTACAATCTATAAACTTTAGCTTAAATAAGCAGCACTTTTTTAAAAATACATCTATATTAGGCCTTTTCTTTTGTAAGCATGTCGCAAAAGAACACATCAAATAAGCACTACTGTTGATGGCAACTCTGAAGAAAATGGAGATTTTGTTCGGCTTATATGTGCAAAACACGTAATAAAATTTAATGTTGAAATTTCGATAATGAATAATAATGCTTTACAATTCTTGATAAGAATATTTTTTTTTACAAAAAAAAAACGCATTTTAACAGTAAAATAATAAAGAGAAATAATAATGTATTTGTTACAAACAGTGACGACACATAATACGAATAATTAACGAAATCAAACGTTGACAGATAACTGAAATTTTGCACGTACTTCCAAAAATCGTTCACAATAGACGAATTTTTAGTGTTGGCAACAATGTGATTTAAGCTGCTTATTAGTTAAGCAATTTCAAAAATTTCATTTTCGTACGATGATTTTATATAATTATCAACGCGTATTAACCAGAAAAGAATGCATCGCCTACCTTAGTTCGATATTTACTGATGAAACACCACATTCAGCGATTGTAAAACGCTGATTTAATGAGTTCAAGCGTGATTGTCATTCTCTCCCCGGCGAATTTTGTGAAGGTCGTCCAAGAACGAAATACTCCATGGAAAATACTTCGAAAAAGAATAAAACTATTTTCACTAATTAATCACTGTGTTTTCATTGTTAGGTGCAAAACCTAAAAGGCAGCCCTAGTCGCGCAAGCTAGCAGTATCTCATAGCATATCATAGAGTAGTGTGGCAATTTACTTCAAATCAAATATAAACAATGCTTTTTCAACATTTTCTAATGCCGTTTTCGATTGGTAAATCTGGGATATTTTTTTTTCTTGACTTTAACAGATCAAGAGAAAATCTAGATTGAATTCATATTTACCAATCGAAAACACCATAACATTTCAACAACGTTCTTATAAGACAATTTGTGATTCTTTAAAAATTAACATTTACTTCGACTAACCCAATCTTTAGAGCACGGCATTTTTTTAAAGTTTGGGAATAGCTGGAGATCACACATTAAGATTATCACGAGTAGGAAAACAATTCCTATAATTTGACGGCCATTGTCATTGATTTGTCTTACGCTATTTTGTAAAGAAGAACATTATATTTTACTTTATTTCCGGTTATTTAATGTGATCTTATCGTACAAATGCAGATACATATTATTAATTGTTGATAGAGTACATTATATTGTAGGAAAGTTTGAAACTTCCTTTTATAACAAAATCAATTATAGTTAATAACATTTATGCCTAAATAAATATAAATTTGTTAACTGAAAGAAAAAATTACGGCTATAGTTAGTTATCGGTCATTAATGAGTTAACGTGAGGTCGGAGCGGGTTAACATCTACGACTAATGCATATTATTTTATAATAGAACTAACCTTATAATCTAACTAATCGAAACTATTAATCTAACAAATTTTCTAATATATTGCAAAATTCTATCACAAGCAGTGAAACCTCCTCCAATACAGAATTAACGTTTTTTTAAAGGAAACAGTTTTTTGACCACTGTAGAACTATATATTGGCCTGAAAGGTATAATGTTTATCACAAACTATTTTATGTAACAGAATTTTTCTCCATACATCATAAATTGAAATCCAATTTGACAAGGTGTGGAGTCAAGGTCTTATAAGCAAATTACGAATGCAATTTCCAGAACAATATTGCGATCTTATAGAATCTTATATAACAAATAGATATTTTCGAGTTAAACAAGAAGACTGCTACTCAAACCTAAAAGCAATTAAAGTGGGTGTCCTACAGGGAAGCGTCCTTGGTCCTATACTCTTTCTTTTGTTTACTAATGATATACAAATAATAGAAAATTGTAAAATTGCGATGTTTGCTGATGGTACAGCTCTAATTTCAATCGGTTCTCGGACGAAACAATGGCGATTCAAGCTTAACAATACAAAATCGGTACATGTTGACTTTACAAATAAAAGAGTCTCCCACTGCAAATTAAATATAAATGGACTGGAAATACCCTATGTGAATACAGCAAAATACTTAGTATTTAAACTACGTTGGAAATAGCATGTGAAAAAGAAAAAAAAGAACTTGAGCTAAAGTATAAGCAGATATAATGGTTAATCGGTAGGCGTTCACTGTTATCGACACAAAATAAACTCCTGATTTACAATCAAATTGTAAAGCCTGTATGGACTTACGGTAATACAGTTATGGGGATGCACCAGTAAGAGCAATTTTATGATAATACAGCGTTTCCAAAACAAAGTACTTAGAAATATTGTAAATGCTGTTGCTTTTAGTTTTACAATAAGTTAACGCAACTGACTCAGCACCCTCTGACATCACTAAGTAATAAAACCTTAGCGAAAATATTTATAATTTATATTTATAACTTATGAAGAGTCATACTGAATTTTAGTATCAAAGAAGTATATAAAAAACTTTTTTGATTTCCATTTCATCTGGCCCCATTAAGTCAAATTTTGCATTGGGTTATCAGGACACATACTGGATTTTTGTATCAAAGAAGCATATAAAAAACTTTCTTATAAATTTACTGGGTTGACATTGTTATATTGTTATTGTGCACCATTTACAAATCCATTAGTTGAATCCCGTTCACGGACTTACCCACTCGCAGACCCACTAGTTGTGTCCGTAGCAAGACGCTGAGTCTACTAATACTCATTTGAGCGTATTCATAGAATTAAAAAAATCTATATTTATAAAATGAATTAAATGCCATTTGAATGTACTTGAAAAAATGAGTGTCTTAATTTTAATTATATTTGAAGTTAAAATAATGATATCAAAATTTGATGAATCCAAAATAATAAAAAATTTATCAATTTAAATTTTTTCATCTCTTAAGAGAAATTCAATAATAAAAATGAAATGAACAAAATTATTTTTAGCTTAATTAAAATCTACTGATTAGAATTCTATGTTTATGATATATACTGACATATACAAATATTTAGCGCATACAAAATTGTCTCCTAAAAGTGATACTTTGAAAGCAATACCAACACTATCGTTAGAT